CTCCCTGCCTGATTGCCCCTACCCACGCCCCTGCCAGCCTGATTGATGCCTAACTGCTCCCCTGCTGGCCCGATTGCCCCTACTTGCCCTCCCCTGCCAGCCTGGTCGCCCCCAACTGTCCTCCCCTGCCAGCCTGGTCGTTGCCCCCAACTGCCCACTGCTGGCCCGGTCGCCCCTAACTGCCCTCCCCCACTGGCCATCTTGTGACTGTGGGCGCCACCATTTTTGAGGGCAGGGCAGCAATTAGCATATTCCCTCCTTATTGGTTATGGGCGCCACCATCTTTGCGACAGCATGGGGGTCAATTAGCATATTCCCTCTTTATTAGATAGGATATTTTCCTGTGATTCTAAACCTTTTTTCCACTCCAGTATTCAAGAGATTGAACACATGCCTGTCAGTGACAGCAATCTGCTGTGACATTGATAGCCAGAGGACAAGATTAAGAGCACCCCCCTGCAGTTCTGAAAGGCTTCTTCCAAGAGACTTCACTGGTCAGTGTCCCAGGGACCAGGAGAACCAGGGGGACTTGGAACAAAGAGTAGCACAGACTCCACAGGGATCATGCACTGTGCTGCTTATCTCCTTTCATTAGTACCTACAAGTGGGTGTGAACCGATCTTCAACTTCTCTTGTACAATTCTGAACCCAAAAGGGTTATAAAACAAGATTTTTTTCCTTAAGTTTGCAGCAATTTATTTGGCAGCAAACCCTGAACTGAGACTATTTATGCTCTTTACCATAATTGTTGATGCAGAATATTAATGCTTGATTACAGAGTGATACCCAGACCTCACTGGAAGTGTTACAAAGTGTGTGTGGCATGTGCCATGTCTTTCTAAATTTTAAAGAATTTTCCAAACCACTTTTGGCCCCAAGAGTTTAGATGAGGAAGTTGAAATTGTGAGAGCTGATTTCTCAACACATTGCTCCCAAGTTATGTGACCAGATTTGAAAAAAGGCCATGTGTTTTCTTCCAGCTCTGCTACACTGCTGTTTAAAGAGCCCATTCAGATCATTTACCCTGTTGTTTGAAAAGTCGGTTAGCTTTGCAAATACTTGTATCTTCTTATATAATAAAAGCCTAATATGCAAATTAACCGAATGGCAGAACCACCAGTCACTATGATGAGCACTGATCACCAGGGGGCAGATGCTCAATGCAGGAGCTGCCCCCTAGTGGTCAGTGCACTCCTACAGGGGGAGCACTGCTCAGCCACAAGCCGGGCTCATGGCTGACGAGCACAGTGGCAGTGGCAGGAGCCTCTCCCGCCTCCGCTGCAGGCAGGCAGTAAGGAGTGAGGGGTTTCGGATTGTGAAAGAGTGCAGGCCAGGCTGAAGAACCCCACTCACCACCCCCAGTGCACGAATCTTGTGCACCAGGCCTCTAGTAACTCTATAAAAAGCCAAGAAACATGTTTTTAAAGTAATATCTTTGGTCTGTTGCCATTTGGTCATTGTAATGCTTCAGACTTACCTTTTTTCTTTGCAGAGAAGTCCTATAAATATTTCATTTGGAATATTACTGTTTCTGTGTCTTCAGGTGGAATCGAGTAGGAAATCAAAGTAACTGAATGCTGAGGCATTGATTAGACTATGATTATCCCCCTTATCCTTGCCATTTAGAAAGCAGAGTAGCAGCACCAAAGTAAGTAATTTTTCATGAATAAGGATTATGGTGATAACATTTTCAGAATTAAGAATAACAGGTCTTTGAATAATGAGCTAAAATATCTTTCTGGTTAAATCAATGTTATCACCACACCCCCTTCAGTTTGTTCTTTTTTTATTTAGAGAAAAAGAAAATGATTTTTTTTCCAAGTGCAAATCACCTGAAATCCTCCACTTTAGGCTTTCTTATTTCTGTAAAACATGAAACTTTTGCTTAAACATGATTGTGTTTTCTGTGCTTTTTATCTGTGAGATCACTCTCTCTCACGAGATTCTTCCTACTGAGTGTGAATTCTGCATGTTGTGTGCTTTGTAAGGCTTGACTGCCCTCCGTGGTGCACAGGGGGTTGTTTAGCATGAGGGGAACTGAGCATGTAGAGCATGGCCTGGACTCACCTTCTCTGAAGACAGGTAGCTTAATTGGGATTTAAAGTTGCTCTTTTCATAAAATAAACCTGTGGTATTGTGGTGTAATAGAAATTATACAGCCTGGCTGGTGTGTCTCAGTGGTTTAGCATCAACTCATGAACCAGGAGGTCACAGTTCGATTACTGGTCAGGGCTCATGCCCAGGTTGTGGACTCGATCCCCATTATGGGGCATGCAGGAGGCAGCCAAACAATGATTTTCTCTTATCATTGATGTTTCTCTCTCGCCCTCTGCCATCCTCTCTGAAATCAATAAAAAAAATACTAGTATATATTTTTAAGAAATTACATATTTGCTTTGTCCCCAGTTCCTGGCATAGAGCTCGTAAAAACCTTGGAATGTCCTGACTGATAGGATCGGAACTGGTTGCCAGAGGAAGGCTAGAACTCTCAGCCCAGCTCCAGCCTCTGGGGAGGGGACAGGGACTGGAGATTGCACTCAGGCACCAATGGCAACATGGTGATGATCTAATCAGTCGTGCCTATGTAATGAGACTTTGATGAAACTCTGAAACGAGGTGCTAGGAGGGTGGGTGGTATGTCTGAAGAGGGGTGAACACTGCCCTCCCCAGCCCCAGCTAGCCCTGTCATCTCTTCTTTTTGGCTGTTCCTGAGTTGATTCCTTTATAAATAAACCAGTAAATGCATGTGAAGCACTTTCTTGAGTTCTGTGAATTGTTGTAGCAAATTATTGAACCTAAAGGGAGGTCATGGGAACCTTCAAATTATAGGTGGTTGGCCAGAAGTACAGGCAGTCCATGGGACTTGCATCTGAAGTGTGGGCAGTTTTGTGAACTGAGCCTCACGACCTGTGGGGTCACTGACTCCAGGGAGTTGGTGTCAGAATTGCACTGCAGGACCCCAGTGGTGCTGGAGGGCGGCAGGCGTCTCAGGTGTTCTCTGTGTGACTGGGCGCATCCACCTTCTCTTCCAGTACCTGACCAAGCAGGTGGAGCTCCTGCGGCAGATGAATGAGCAGCATGCAAAGGTTTATGAGCAGCTGGATGTCACTGCGAGGGAGCTGGAGGAAACAAATCAAAAGCTTGTTGCTGACAGCAAGGCCTCACAGCAGAAGATTCTGAGGTAAACTTTCTAAAATTCATCGAGGAAGCCCAGGGCGCGGGAGTCATTTAGTGTAAACTAGAATAGAGCATGACTGTCGTGGGTTTGGGTTAGTGTGGGGTAAGGTTTAATTCTTTATGAAGAATAGATTAGGGAGCAGTCCCTTCCAATTAAGAAAGCCCAGTTTGAGCGACTGGCAGCTAATCTCTCCTCACTGCTATGCCCTCAATTTCATGTGACAAGCAGCAATGGCTCTGTCTGTCCCTCACAGCCTGACTGAAACAATCGAATGCCTGCAAGCCAACATCGATCACCTCCAGGGCCAAGTGGAGGAGCTGAAGTCATCTGGCCAAGGGAGAAGGAGCCAGGGGAAGCATGGCCAAAAGTCGGCACCCAGCTTCTCGGGTCTGAAAGAGCTGTATGACTTACGCCAGTAAGAGCCCACCTTCCACAGCGCATGCACATACAGGAGCATCTCCACACAGATGCCATCTGCATTCCTGTAGACTCAAAATATATTTAAGAAACATCACGTGGCTGTTAGACCACCAGTGGTTTGAACAAACCACTAACCGCAAATCAGAGTTCTTGGGCATTAGCAATTTCATGGAAATTCATTTTCTAAAGTCTTGGGAGCATTTATTTCCATGTTATTAATGTGCTAAATCTTAGTTTAAGATAAAATGCAGTACTTCTGATAGACTACAACTTTGGGGGTTATATTTTACATTAGAGTGAAGAAAAAAATTGAAACTTCAGTAAAACAGAAATCCCAGTGAACGGTTTTTGTGCCTAACCAAATGCCTTTATAATTTAGTTATGAGATTGAATTTTTACTTAAAACTATTTATTGGGCACCTGCTGTTGTCAGGTGCTATGCTAGACATGAAGAGTGGCAAGTAAAATAGACATAGCTTCTGCCCTCCTTCAAGGAGTTTTCCATCCCATGAGAGGCAGATGAACAAATCTTCACACAAATAAATACAGTTACAAGTTGCCAAGGATCCTGAACAGGGAGAGGGGCCAGCTCTGTGTTTGATGGTTCTCACCCTTGGCTTGGTTCATCAGATCACCTGCTGAGTTTTTCCAACTGCAATACAAGTGATTCCCTCAGCCTAAATCAGAACCTCTGTGTGTGGGTAAAAAGCTGCCAGGTGAGTCTGATGTACACTCCTGGTTAAAAACCACTACAGCAATGGCTGCATATTATGAATCACACAGAGAGCTTGGAAAAACCCCAAGTCCAGGCAGCAGACCATTTAGGTCAGCATGGAGTGTGGGGGGAGGGGCGGAGGGGGGGGAGGATGCAGACATCAGTATTTTTTTTTTTTTAGAAACTTTTTAAACATATTTTATTGATTTTTTTACAGAGAGGAAAGGAGAGGGATAGAGAGTTAGAAATATTGATGAGAGAGAAACATTGATCAGCTGCCTCCTGCACACCCCCCACTGGGGATGTGCCTGCAAACAAGGTATATGCCCTTGACCAGAATCAAACCTGGGACCCTTCAGTCCACAGGCCGACGCTCTATCCACTGAGCCAAACCGGTTAGGGCGCAGACATCAGTAATTTTTAAGACTACCCTGGAGAGTCTAACCTCTCCAAGGCCGAGAACACTGGCCGTTCTGGCTCCCTTGAAAGCTAATAGACCACTGGTCTTTGGGAATGGATGTTCTGGACACTTTTCATGTTTAAAAAAGTTAGTGTAAAAATTCTATTTTTAAATCTGTTTTATTTGCCCACTTCACACAATTTCTTTTTAGCCATTGCTCTAGTGAGGAATAGGCAAAAATTCGGTCCCTGTCACAGCTCCTCAAAAATATTTAGCTGAAAAGAATCACGACTCTTCCTCTCACCATTCTCAGTTGGCTTGGTTAATATATTCTTTCCATATTTTCCCTAGACACTTTGTGTATGACCATGTGTTTGCAGAAAAGATCACTTCCTTGCCAAGTCAGCCAAGCCCCGACGAAGAAGAAAACAAGCATTTGAAGAAGGCAGTGAGGACGCTGCAGGCACAGCTGAGCCTGGAGCGGCAGAGGCGGGTGGCCTTGGAGGAGGAGTACGGGCTTGTGCTGAAGGAGAACAGTGAGCTGGAGCAGCAGCTGGCGGCCACCGGCGCCTACCAGGCCCGGGCGCTGGAGCTGGAGGCTGAGGTGGCTGAAATGCGGCGGGTACTGCAGGCAGAGCGTCCCTTCATGAATGGGGTCGAAAAGCTGGTGCCCGACTCCCTATTTGTCCCTTTCAAAGAGCCTGGCCAGAGCCTGCTGGAGGAGATGCTGCTGACGGTGCCCGAGGCCCAGCGGAGGCCCCTCAAGCGCAGCAGCAGTGAGACGGTGCTCAGCAGCTTGGCCAGCGGTGACATCGTGAAGGGCCACGAGGAGACCTGCATCCGGAGGGCCAAGGCTGTGAAGCAGAGGGGTGTGTCCCTGCTGCAGGAAGTGGACACACAGTATAGCGCCCTGAAGGCCAAATACGAGGAGCTGCTGAGGAAGTGCCAACAGCAGGAGGGGGACTCCCTGTCCCACAAGGCTGTGCAGACTGCCAGGGCTCCAGCCAGGGACCCAGCTTCCAGGGACCCACCCGCTGCTGGTGCCCCCGAGCCTGCTGGGTCCCCCACCAGCACACCACCTCCCGAATACAAAGCACTCTTTGAAGAGATCTTCAGCTGCATCCAGAAGACGAAGCAGGAGATTGACGAGCAGAGAATGAGCTATCACCCTCTCCCCTCCCCTTAATGGGGCCTCCAGCTCCCCTGCTCATTTCCTATCTCCCATCACCCTTCTCCCACTCAGACATGTTTGTAGACCCCAAAGCCTGAATTTGCTCACTACTTTGCTGACTCAGCCAGTGTGTATGTACAGTGAGGACAGGATGGCTCCTGGCATAAGTTTCCTAACCCAGGTCCCTTCAAGCCCCGCAGTAAGCCCCTCCCATGACAAACTGGCCTCTGGCTGGCGCTGACTAGGCTGTCATTCTTGAGAAGCCCTGAAGCAGTGGGGGCAGAGCTGTGCTCCTGGAGAGGTAGGCCTGGAGCCTCCACAGGATGCACTTATATGCACAGTGCCTACTACACTGGGAAAGGGCCGGGGAAACAGAGCTAAGGCGATCCCTGCTGCCTCCTGGCTTACCTTCTCAAAAATGTGGAAGCCAACCACCAACCTGAACTGTCCCCGAGCGCTGGTGGATACTGTGAATTCAGGAAGACCATTTTGGAGAAAGTAGGGGTCTAATCCAAAGAAACAGTGTTAACCAATACTCCACACCCTAGAGTTTCCTTTGCTACCAGTCGCACTGTGACAGGGAATCCTAACAGACCTAAAGCACTGAGCACCTGCAGAAAGGCGAGCTCTGCTGGACCCAGGTTTGCCTGTCAGCCTGCGCTCCACCCCGAAGGCCTGCACCCCCATCCAGGTGTGTTCACGCAAAGTGCAGTGTTAGGGTAGCCGCGCACAGCACACACCTATTTCCTTTCTTAAATACAAACGGGGATAAGCTCTCCTGTGCTGTCTGAGCTGCTGACCTGCTCAGTGCCTGCGGCTCCTGTCAGTGGTTGGCCTTGGCTGCAGGAACCCCATCGGCTCCTTTACTGAACAGTGTTGGCATCATTCTAACTGTGGAAATGGATGACTCCTCGCACTTGCATACTTTAATTTAAAACTATTTAAGAGAACTGAGGTTCCAGTAATTGTATATATTTTTCTAAAAACCAAATAAAACTACCTATGAAAATGAACAAATGGGTCTGTTGCCTATTAATTTAAGCTTAAGCCATTTCACTGTTGTAACCAACTGTTTACTCTTTTTTCTTCCAACAAACATTAGGAAATTTGATAATGATTTTTTTAAAATTATTTTTAGGAAGAGAGAGAAACATCTGTGGGCTGCTTCCTACTCGTCCCCTACTGGGCATGTGCCCTGACTGGGAATCAAACCAGGAACGAACCCCTTGGTGGATGGGCCAACGCCCAACCAACTGAACCACTCAGGTCAGGGCTTGATAGTGATTCCCCCTACCCCCCATTTCTTTTACACAGGTCCTTGGGATTATGTAATAGCACCAGTTCTGCTCAGACTGACAAGTGTTGGTTAAAATTACTATATGATTGGAAAACATTTTCAAATTATATACTCTATAATTTTTCACTATTTTAGGAGTGTCAGACTGGGTACTGAATTAATAGCACTTGACCAGTTGATTCTCAAAATTTTGCTTTTGAATTATTTAAGTTTAAAAGAGTTTGTAAACTCACCTTGTCTTCCCTGATCTCCCAAGCCATCCCCTCCCCAGAACCAAACAGTTTGTAAACTCACCTTATCTTCTCTGATCTCCCAAGCCATCCCCTCCCAAGAACCAACTATACAAATTAGGTTTCTTGTATAGTCTTCCAAAATACTCTGTGTATATATTAATACATGAATATGTTTATATGACCCATATTTTTAAACAAATGAGTGTACTATAAGCACTCTTCTGTATCTTCCATTTTTACTGAACCATGAATCTTTGAAATCATCTAACTTTATCTAACTACATGGTCTGGGAGCAGAGTACAGTGTACCCTGTACCCTGGGAGCAGATGGTCCGCTCGTGCTTTTGTGCCTGACGAACATCATCTGTCCCTCGCTCTTGATTGGAAGAGCTTAGGCTCGCTGACTACATTCTTTTTAATATATATATATATATATTAAATATATAAACATAAATATATTTATATAAATATATTTTTTTAATTGATTTCAGAGAGGAAGGAAGAGGGAGCGAGAGACAAACACAATGATGAGAGAGAATCATTGATTGGCTGACACCTGCCCACCCCGC